GGCAAAGGGTCGGGTACGTTAGAAACACTCTCTGACTGCGTGCCACCGCGACCCGAAAGGAGAAGCGGCGAATGGAAGACGAAAAGTTGAAGCTGTTTCCGTCAGTCAGATTGTACTGAGGATCATGACAGAATTAAACTGAACGATACCTGACATATTGGCGCCAGTAAAAATGCCGGTGACCGATGGATAGAAGATGGCTAGGAGCATGAAGAAGTTGGTAGACATGTCCTGCACCACTTCTGATCGAGTGTCGCCAGCAACATTAGGAGTGACATCACCGCGACGCATATACGATGACCAAGCGTTGTCTTCAAGGGAATATAATGAAAATTTAAAATCATTGACTAAGCGGCGACGGCAACGAAACATACCATTTATGACACCGCTGGCGAATCCGGGAATACCGGGCACATACATGGCCTCGTGATCATCGAAGTACGGATCACAGTGCGTTTCACCCGTTAGATTGTTGTACATACAAAACAGGGACCACAGCGTGCCGTTGATGGCTTTGTCGCAGTGCACGCTGCCGTTGATGCCGAGGTACGCGGACGGCCTCAACAGACGATCGCCGAGCATGCAGATCCTGAAGCGTAAACAAAATGCAGTAAGGTGACAGCAACTGAATTCGATTAACATTAAAAAATACAGCTTCATCGCAAACCCAGAATATTGTAAGAATATTTGATTGTACAGAAACCTAAGAATCGATGCACACTAGCTAATATTCGAATACCTGTTTATTTAACCAACTCAATGATGCGGGAATGGTGTGTTTAAAGCGGCTTTCAAGATATGAAACGCAAGGGAGGGGACGATTTCGTCGAGGGAATCTGAGAAATTGATAATTTTATCGGCATTTGCCATTAAACAGAAATCTTACGGATATTCGCTTAAACCATTAAGTTATTCAAAGTGAAAAACTGTATAAACCTAAACTCGACGCAAAAAAGTAGGTTCAGTTTTCCTCTTTCTACCTACGTATACGAACAACTTTACAAGACAACGTGAATGGACTTACACAGGACTAGTGGCAGGACTGGCAGTAATGGCTCCAATGTAAACGGCGAATATCGAAATCACAACGCATGCAAGCGATATCGGGGCGAAGAACTGCACGAACCTGACACCCATGGCGACGATGATGAATTCGATCACCAGAAACATAGAGCCATACGCCCTGAAGTTATTGAACATCTGCTGCTCAGTCATGTGGCCCGGAGTGCCAAACAACTGCATGCTCGGTGCCATGTACATCTAAAAGCGGAAACAGTTATCACGCACATCAAAAATGTATAAACAAAAATGAAGAAATATAGCAAAATTACACTGAAATTTTACAAACATGTAAAACAATAAAAGGCAATATAAAATACTAACAAAATTGTATAACTTGAGATTAATTTTTTTAAAAAGTACTAAATAATAACTGGACCATTCGTAGACTATTCCAATTTTTGAACGTGCTGCATACAGCTATGTGAAATATCAA